TAATAGTAAGTTAGTAGACTTTTCCAAAAACTCAATATTAAAGGAGTTATAATTTTTTTTTTAATTAAAATTTTGCTATAAATTGTTACACTTCAACGATTTTTGGAAATTTGGTACGTTGGCAATTTAAAAAAAATGAATTTGAGGTTATGTAACTTCATTAATTAAATTAATTAACATACTAAGGGTTGCTTTCGCTGTACAGCAAAAATAAAACACTCTCTCAACGGTACAAATAAAGTATTTTTATTGAAAACTAAGCTTGCGAACATGTGTACCCACTGTACTTTGCACACCTCCTCTTTAGTACAAAATCTCGAACCTCAAAAATTCATCAAATACATATTAAATGCTTTTAAATCAGGGCGGATCCGTTTTGAGGTGGATTAGAGAGGGGATAAGCAAATTTTTTCTGGATTACCTTTAGTACAACTCACATAATAAAAGTGTAGATTCCTAGATCTCGACGAGGTCTGGAACATTTTCAAAATTGCAAAAATGTTTAAACAATTTTAAAAAATACCTATTTTATCTGTTTTTATTTATATCTTGGACCCTATGCATTTTGGAAGAATATTGAAGAGGAAAAAAAGTTTTAGAATTGAATTTTGCACAATATACTGAAAGTTAAAAATGTTTAAATTTATTACCGATGTTGGAAAATAGCAATAATTGATGAAAACAGGCAAAATAAACAAGTTTTTTTAATAATTTTTTTAAAATATTTTAATAGCTCCAAGGGCATTCTAATTTTGGTAAAACAAATTTTAGAATAGACAGATCCGCCCCGGTCTATATAGAAAAATCTTTGGAATATAATCACAAAAAAATACTAAATTACGCTATTCCACTAGTTATTTTGGTACACCAAGTAAAACTACTTCCATCTGCGTTCCTAACCCGACTCGAATACCATTATTACAAGTTGAAATGACATAAACTCGGTGCTTTTCCGAGAACCGTAGTATAATGGAAAAGTTGCATACGGAACCAAAAATGTGGAAATGTGTCAAGATTTAATCCAGCTCGAACCAGAAGTTGGCCTCACTTGAAATGTACTTAAACTTTTATAACTTTTAAGCATTTCATCTCATTACCGTTGCTCAGACTTTTAAACATGTCCGTCACGTTAATGGTGTGCAATTTGGAGAGCGCTAAAATTAGCCTAAAACTTATTCCGCCTCGGTGCAATAAAACTCAGGTCGGGTAAGTCTAATTCAGTCAGAAATTGTAACGCGGATCATTAAAGATTTGAAAAAATTTTTAAGAAGTTATATATAACCTACTACTGGCCATTGCCAACGTAAAGTACATTCATAGAATTAAGAGAATGACTACCTGCGTCGGCTCGAGTCCAGTAACGAACCGTTTCCAAGACAAAAGCTCGAGCAACCAGTTTAAATATGTATATCTATGCGATAACAATAATCTCTTAAAAAAGTTGACTTGTACTCTTTCTAATAAATCAACATTGAGAACTTCCACCTCATTTTGAGTCCAGAAATCTGTGGTCTTCCGTTGTACACGTACTTACAGGACACCCAGTGTATATTCCTCTGTTTCTTGTTCCCGTTAATGTATCCGAAACAATTTCTTACAATAACCGCCGCATTCTGGCTTTGAATCATTTCTTTTATTTTTATCTGGTACCGTTATTCCAGACCTCCAGAACATCCGTCTGCCGTTTCTGTCAAAGATATCCGCACATTAGTTCCAAGACGCATGCGAAGCAAATCCTATGGTATTCATTAATAATTTATTTTCCCTGTTACTTGTACGTCGGATATTTAAATATACATCAAAGGAAGAGAAATAAATCGAAAAATACATTAAGAGCATAGGCGGAGGAAATGTACGAGCAACTGCGTGGGTTCGGAAGTAAGTAAATTTTCATTTATTGAATGGAAATGGCTTGCGGCGTAGCAGATATTAAATTATAATATTAAATCCTTAATTTCGTTTGAATATCTATCGTATTTTGTGTTTCAAATGATCAGCGAATCTTTGCGGTGAATTGGATGTTCTGTCAGTGAATTGCTAGCGAGATGTAATCCACAAAATATGTAATTTCTTAGATGTTACCGCTGATCGATGACGCATAGACCGACGTACTAATCTGTAGGTACTACAAAAGCATGGCTAGTATTACATTACTATGCGGACCAGTATGTTCTTATCAATGCGTATGAACTACTAGACTACAAGCCCATTGGAAATTTTCAAGGGGTCATCTAAAATAGAGGGTTGCACCCTGTATTCTTAACCCCTGTATCAGCAAGTACGTACGGCGTCGCTTAAAAATTTATCTATGTATCGATCCGAAACTTGCAGTATAAATGCCGTACGTAATAAATCACCAAAACCCAGGCCAAAATTTTTGGAAAATCAAAAATTTTCCTGGCTTCCAGTATTGCTATTTTTGTACGGCATTAGGTCGAGGTTAATTTTTTTTTGTATAACCTATATACTTTAGAAATGCCGTATAAAAATGTTTCTCCGAAAACCCACCCTCTTGGTGGAGAGGTTTAGCTTACCTGTGTACTCACCTGTACCAACAAGAATTGACGGCATAGTTTCTAAAGGTATTGTTATATGTGGTAGTATTGATTTTTAAGTAATTAATGCTGGGTCAAATGACCCCTCGAAAATTTCCGGTGGGCTTGTAGTCTATACTAATGCGACTAGAGAAATAATTTTTAGAGTTAAGTTCGTACGAATAGCATGGCGTTTATGATATGCCAGTGTCAATGAAAATAGAACTATGTTTTTTTTCCAACTAATTCCACATTTCTTTCTGATATTTCATTTTCAGTTTCTTTTATGAATGCCAAAATATACAAAGTACTCGAATATACGCAAGCCAAATAAAATAAAACAATACAGAAAATAAAAGATAAAACACTGAGAAAATTTATATTATACACTACACATAATTGCATATGATGTTACAGAGTAATAAGGGTGTAATAAGTTTTCAAACTTCGTGTGACAAATTAATATGACAATCCTATAACAATTTGGAATTTAAATGTATGTATGTATGTGTAAAAATTTTTCTGAACCAGATAAGGGATAAATAAAAGTTCACTACTATATTAATAATTTGAATTTATAAAAGGAGTTCGTGTTTGTTTGCTTTATGTTTAATAATATGCCGAGTACTTGTAGTCGCAAAAGTTTCCAAGTTGTAAGTTGTTAAACGTTAGTAAAAATAAAACTTGGATTTAAATTATAATTTATATAGCCATCCTAACCAACCACCACTCTCGGTACCGTATCACGCTCCATCTGCAATTTGCCGTATATTTTACGATAATACGAAACAATTGTTATAGTTCCCAAACTCTTACAGTGAAGCATAAACCAAGACATAAAAATGATTAATAAATCCATAACGTTGACGGTAAATCAAAAGCTGTAAACTGCTTCCTCTTTCTTCTGCCTCCTGTCTTTATATCTCCTTGGTTTTTGTGTAAATATCGACTTCTCAAATAGCTCATTAACTTGGCATTGCCTATCTGAGACTATTTACAAAACTTTTATTTTAGTACCATAAAAGTATAGTTCATCCCTAAATCTTATTGTTTTAATAATTTTTTATTTTACCGAAATTTGATTGTTACAACGAAGGAAAAAAATTACAGATCAGTGGCTTGTAATCATTTGAGAATACTTTGTAACATAACTTTTTCATCACATTAGCAGTGTGGGTTTAGGATATTTTTAGAGAGGAATGTTATATTTGGTAGATACCTTAATATATTCGGAAGAGATCTTCACAGAACATTTTTACGTATTAAAACTTATATAATCCCGTTTAAACGGGTATCTACGGTTCGTAATTATTATGCAAATGTTATCTGATAAAGTTAGTTAATTAAATTAAACGTGAAAGCAAAGCGTGATCCATTCGTGTTATAAACTTACTCACGGTCCGGCAGCGAATAGTTTTTGAATTTAAAATTACCTACAGTAGACAGGGAGTACAGGAAATCGTTTTAACTACAAGCTTTTAGGAGTTTACCCGGGAATACATACATCTGAAATTTTATTCCGTACAATCCTTTAATGCTCCTAAAATAGTACTTCCTATACAGAACGGTTTCGTTACTAAAGAGAAAAATGTTAATTCGATATCCCTGCTGCTTCTGCTTTTCCAATTTGAATTTGAATTTAGTTTTCTCGTTTGTCAATAGACAAAGCGTACGACTGCATCTCTTACTGTAATAGACATATTGCTCTTCGACTTATTGAAGAAAAACAGGGTTCCATCATCTCTTCTACTTAATTTTTTAGAATTCTTAGACAGTTTTAAAGGCATCAGAGAATATTATCTGTTTTCCAGTTAGTTATTTATACTTTACTGAAACGTGATTCAAGTTTTCTATTTCATTAAAAAGAGGATCCTTTCACAGTCGTTTAGCTTAGCATTTGGCCATATTCCAAAGAAAAATATACTTATGATAAACGAAAGGAGAAAGCCTCGCTTCCCAAATCCCGATATTTAAGGCCCACCAAGAATAATGAACAAGCACAATATCGGAATAAATACATACATTTCGTCGACATTAGAATAGCGGGATGTTTTCGAAATTTTAATAATAAAGTGAGCCGTGAAATCCCCCATAAAGTGGGAAGTGAGAAGTCAGGGCGTGGATTTCCGACGCATTGTGATTCTTCTGATACCTCCTGATGGCGCTTCTCCCCCCTATACGCATCAAATATTCAATCGATAAACTTATATAGACTCGCGACATGTTGCTTTACATACATAAGCAGATATAATATTCTAAAATACATCCTTTTTTCTAGCAGGTTATTTTTTATACATATCTTTTGTCGTTCGCTGCTCTCCCTCGCTTCCGCAGATACATGCGATAGTAGCGCCGAAATATTTTTTGCCTCACCAAGTTTTTGTCATGGCGACCTTTCAACTTTTACTATTCAGGTCCCGGTCCAGAGGAAATCGATACGTAATATTTAATAATATGTTGTATTACCTTGATATGGGACGTAAAAACAAGTGGTTGAAGCACCGAGAGAAGAAAAATTGATCCACACACTGAGCTCAGTCCAAATCTTCTAGTCGCCATCTGAAACAGAAAAATATTCGCCTTAGAGTAGAAGTCTTTCATTAATAACTACCGTTATCAGTAAGGAACACATCGTTCCTCTTTGGCAAAGTCTGGAGTGCCCCAAGGTTCTAATATGGGTCCCTTTTATTTATTATTTTTATTAATGATTTACCTGATGATGTATCAGACAGTTTATTATTTCTAGATAACTCTAAATTTTAGAAAAATTGATAATTTTAAAGATGGTATATGTTATTTGTCCACAGAAAATAAATTGAATTTTAAGGGCCGATTAGTTGATGTTTTTGTACGAATTAGTAAATAATTGATTGGATAGTCCTTATTTGTTCTCTCAAACAAATCTCTGTGTTCTAGATCGCCTTGTAGTTTCGAAAGATAATCTTTTGATTACCAAAAAATTTAAGCCTTAAATAATTGTGATTTCTTTAACATTAATTTGTCATAATTTTCTTTCATGTTCATAAATATTTCTCATGATGCCCCGTTCTCCCCTAGTTTTTATTATTGGAAATAGAATATGGCCTAAAGACGTATGTCCGTAAAATAAAACTAGAGAATTTATTTCTAGTAATTTTATTAAGTATGTTTTCCACTTGTACTAAATTTTACAATTTTTTGAAGTGGACATTTAAAACTACAAAGATACGTCTCTATAAATATTTATTATAGTCTAAAGAGTATATCAATAGATACAAGGCGTCTCCACATTTTGAAAGGTCATCAAAATAAGTCGATTTGAACTCGCTTATAAATATATGTTCAAAAATCAACGCACCCATGTTTTTTAATATCATTCTAAAACTTTTTGAGATAATTTGAGACTTACATAGTGTAAAAGGAAATGTCGCAGAGGGTTTTATTTTTTGGTATCGCCACCCCTTTGACCACCCCATAATTATTTAACTGACCAAATAATAAAATTTATGATAATATTAAAAATTTTTTCTTGGTACCAGATTCCCAGGCGATTAATTTTATGATAACTTGGTTTAAATTGCCTTAGTTTGATCTCAGAAGTCTGCGATCGAGCGGTGTCTCAATTTTTTTTGGGTCACCTTAAATTTGACAACATTCATACTTTATTTACAATTATTGTTATTTAAATTTTTTTGGTACATATACGAATAAAGTCAGTTTGAAACTCTTCTGTATTATGTAAGTTTCAGCAACTCCATCCTGTTGAATCAGCGATACATGTGCTTCAATAAAAATAGACAACTACATAAATAAAATATTATCCTTCTGCAAATACAAACAACGCAGCTATTTGGCATTATATGCTGTTCATTAGTACAACTATATTTATCGACTACAAACATATAATCACCAAATTCTATACAGCCGTATAGGATATTAGTTCTGTTATTCTTCATGAATCAAACGATCATCAATTATTCAATAGATTGATATGAAGGGTCGAAGTATTGTTAAATTTAACCAGTTGCTGGTTGGGACAATTAAATAAATTGGAACATTAAGCCTATTCAGACACATATACAAATACACATATCAGCTTTCGCGGTATATATTTACATATATTATTATTAGATGCCTAAATCTAAACAAAATAAATGTATTACGTCAGAGTATCAAGCCAATTCAAATTAATTCGGAAATTTTGCGAAACCCTCATCAAACAAAGCTAAATACACTCTCATATTACTTAAAGCTTAAAATGCTACATTTGGTGGGGCTAAAATATGACGCTTTTGTTACCTGAATACCTTGTCAAGCTGTCTGTACTTTTAAAGTCAACTAGTTTCTTGCACTGTTAAAGCTACGTTCATGTATTTCACTTTTATGGCAACCCATGTACGTTTTATATCCAGTTATTGTTGATGGGGAATTCTTGGAGTTCCTCGCGATCTGTCTGACGTTCCTAAAAACAATTTTACATTCTCGTAGATTCGAAACGGCGCAGAATAAAATAATAGAAAATTACATCAATTTTAACTTGCTACTGTAAATCAAGATCACAGAGATGACAGTGACTCAACTAAAGTGGTGCAAAATCGCTTTAAAACTGAATTAAGAAGCGGTTTAAAGGAATATCCATAAGTGAGTAAAATTTATAAAAATTAATGAAATAAATCCTTTCGGCAAAAGTCAAGCGTTATTTTCTATGAACATAGTTTTGCCTAACTATAAATCTCGCACTGAAGAAAACAGACAAATGCATATCAGTATATATCGCACTTCAAAAAGTTGTAGACGTTTCGAAAATCCACGTGTTATCGTCTTCTGAACATAATGACTTATGGTTAATTTTTGAAAGTTTATTTAATTTATTTTAACTGTTGTAGTAAGAATTTTCATCGTCTGCTTCAAGTCTTCTTCAATTATCCGGTTGTGGTACCATATGCTTAAAATACATCTTATACATTTGTTCAACTTCTTTGTTCCATAATCTTTTCTGATTTTTCTTTCTGTAATGATAGACCAGGGCGGATCTGCTTTAAGGTGGATGTGAGAAGGGACAAGCAAATTTATTCTGGATTACCTTCATTACAACTCACATAATAAAAGTGGAGATCCTTAGATCTGGGCGAGGTCCGGAACATTTTCAAAATTGCAACAATGTTTAAAAAATTTTAAAAAATACCTATTTTATCTGAGTATTTTACTTATATCTTGGAACCTATATATACCCTATGCTATGGCATTTTTTCAATTAAAAAATTTTTTACGTATATATTTCAACACTGAATATGAATATATTTAGTTTATAACAAATAAAAAAAAATTTTTTTTTAAAAAAATTGTTTTGGGAACCGATTTCAATAAAATTTGGTGTGTTGTTTTATTATACTATAAAGTTTTTTTTACCAGAATTAGAATGTCTTCGGAGCAATTAAAATATTTAAACAAAATTATCCAAAAGATCTGATTATTTTGCCTTTTTTTCATTAATTATTGCTATTTTGCAACATCGGTATTAAATTTAAACATTTTTAGCTTGCAGTATATTGTGCAAAATTCAATTCTAAAACTTCCTCTTCAATATTCTTCCAAAATGCATAGATTCCAAGATATAAGAAAAAAACTCATATAAAATAGGTATTTTTATTAAATTTTTAAACATATTTGCAATTTTGAAAATGTTCCGGACCTCGGCCAGATCTAGGGATCTACACTTTTATTATGCGGGTTGTACAGAAGATAATTCAGAAAAAATTAGCTTGCCCCCTCCTACATCCAACAAGTGGGATATTTCAACAGATCCGCCCTGGTCTATGACGCATGACGCTATTTTCCATAAGATTTTGTATGAATCGCATATATTCATTAGCTCATAAAAAGAGTTCGTAGGTATTTCTTAAAGACTTCTCGTACATTCATCGAAAAGAGGCGAAAATGAGAAAGAAAAACATTCCGTTTAGTTCTCTTTGAACTTTACTACGCATTTCTAGGCACAATTTATAAGCCGCCTTTCCGCCCTCTCAGCCCGACAAGTGCAGACTTAAAACTGTTCTTTTTCAACTATAAAAGTTACTCTAATGTCAGTGGTTCCAGAATAACTCCCGTGGGAGTACGGAGCTAAATTGCCGTTATTCGTTTATGTTTGATGTTTCGGAGAAGTTGTACATTTTAACGCTTAAAGTGGCCATTAGGACGATTTTCCGTTCCGCCTCCCAATTTTACAAGTAGAAAACTTTAGTCTCTATGTGGATAAAGACAGTCTTAAATACACTCAAACTTCTACGATGCAACTTGTGCTCGCTGCAAGCTAATGAAATTTGAAAATTCCGAGATCCCACTTATATTTAACTTTTTATCTTATCTTACTTTATTTTTTACATAAAGGTGGATAAATCTTTTGATGTAGCGTTGAGCGCTTTAATATTTTAAATACAACTAGGACAGTCATTGAAGCTAAAAATCAGCTGTAACCTCCGAATTCTTTGAAACTGCATGGATTTGCATGCAAAATTTAGAATAAAGCTTAGGTTTAGGCTCAAGTTTAAAAGTGACATAAGCCCGATTGACACTTTTTGTTTTTTTAGGGGTAAAAACTACCCCTAAGTGAAAAAAATTGAAAAAATTAAGTTTTAAGCATTTTATTCATAAAAATATTATTCAAGCACAAAAATTAAATAATGTTCCACGTTCTCGAACATGTTTTATGATATATTTGATCTTTTCGACCCTTTATTGAACCCTTAAAAACTACCCCTATGCAAAAAATAATGATAAAAAATTACTTTTTAAATATTTGGAATAATTAAATCGTGCAATTATTTAAAATAAAAGTTACCTTATAGCTAATAAAAGAATTTTTCCTTTCAACCCCTGAAAACCACCCCTGTATTGACAAAAATGATAAAAAATTTCTTTTTAAAAGCTTGGAATGCTTTAACGGTGCAATTATTTAAAATAGAAATAACCTCATTGCTTATGAAAGAATTTGTATCTCATAACACTTTTCAACCCTTATAAATCGCCCCTGTGCTAAAAAAATGATAAAAAATTACGTTTTAAATCTTGGAATGCTATAATTGTGCAAAAATTCCCTTATATTGTTTATACACGTTGACGCGCATTTGAATCCTAACATTTTGCTGCAAAAATGGGAAAGCCTATTTTGCTCCGAAAAAATGTCATTGGTTTTTTTACCATAACTCGGTTAATTTTTAAGCTACAGAATCCTACAAAAAAAGCATTTCAAAGATAATTTCAAGAGCTGTAAGATCGTTTGTATATAAAACCTTTTAAGTCCTTCGTTTTTTAAAGGGAAAGGATCGAAGGGCTCGAGGCAGGTCGTTTTTTCACTAAAATGGATATTTCAAGCCGCGATATGTCCTTTATTTTTTATGCTATAGGAATAGAAAAAAGCAAAATATTTGTTGAAAAAAAGCTACATTTTTGTTGTCTATCATTTTTTACGTATCTTTCATAGTTTCAGAGTTATTATATAGATAAGGCAATTTTTTTGAATAATGAAAAATACGTCTTCAACTTTTACTGTACATTAGTAAAAAAATACCCATTCTAAACCGGTCTTCAGGATCGTATGAAAAACACTAAAACAAAACTAATTGTAAAGGGTTTACGAATAATTTTAATTGTGAT